ATTTCTTAGACGTCTGAGTTCCAGCTGTCAAGTTGAGAACTAATTCTCCCTACTCCCATATCTCTATCTTATCCAGGGAGGGTGGTATCTACCAACCCCCCTAAGGTTTTGACCCCTGGAGGGGTCACTATGAGAACACCTTTCTCAAGATCCTACACCAACTATTCATTCTCTGAATCTTCTCCAAGCTCCTCGACCCCAGACCAGAAAAGGTTCTCATCTCCTCTTTGTGTAGTGGAGAAATAGCTCATATATCATCATGTTTTTCCTCTTCTGTGGTTTATGTTATAAACTCTATGTTCTTAGTGCTCCAGGATTTATCTTTGAAGAGCAATATATATATAGCAATATATATATATATCTTTATATATATAAAGATATATATATATATATATCTTTCAGTGCTGTTGTATCTTTTCTTCTCAAGAGCCTATTTTGGAATTCAAAGTGAAGAATCTGACTCTGAATTCTGCTTGCTGGGTTCTTTGGTATTTTCTCTTTTCTAGGACAAAAGATCTTTTTTAATGGTGAAGATGTTGCAAGGTAAAAAGAAAATGTCATGAAGAAAGAATACACCTGGAAATATTTGAAAATATTCTACATCTACTTCTCTTATATGATATGAACTGAAATGACTTAGGTGGTCTACTATAAAATTTTGCTCTTTGTGGGGGGAACTGGGAAGAAACTAGGCACTTTTCTCAAGATGTTAAAGTTCAAATAGTCTTGAAATTTACCATAAGAGGCAGATTTTTCTCTGCCTCCCTCCTTGGCTATAAAAATATTCCTTATGACACTGCTTTCTTTTCCATGCCCTTTCATAACCTGGGAGGGATGGTTGGCAAAATTCCACACAGTAAGCAATACTCACTGCCATCTAACAGACTAGAACTATCTCCTTGGGGAAGAAGAGAAAAGCTCCGTGGGTAAAAATGTCAAGTCTGGAATCCTAAAGCTCTACAAGAGAAACTATGGGGAATGTCATTCCCTTGGCTGGGGAATAGATTGGATGATGAATGTTTTTTTCCTAGCTTATTAATTTCTATGATTTAAAGAAAACAGCTGTTAAAAGGAATGGAGGAAGCACAAAATTCAGAGGATAAAAGTGGAGACTAGTTATTCTAATATTTTTGAAGAATATTTTTGAGTTTTTAATAAGTATTTGCTAAAGATGAGATATCACATTAAAAACAATCAATTAAATGCTTATATTATCATAGATTTAAGCCCTAGATATTGGGGAAAAGTCAAAACACCCTCAGATATCTTTAGCTCATGATAGTAAACTAGTATTTCTTTCATAATATTCACAGAGTGCTTATGGAAAATGCAGTGAAAATAGAGATGTTTATTCCCATCATGGGCTACTGAAACTAAACTCACTTATATTGAGTATCACCATTACCAGCCATATTGTATACTCCATAGATAAATGAATCATGACTATTCAATGTATTTATGCATGAATTATGTGTATTATGTATATACGTATATGTACATATGTGTATATAAATATATAATTTTTGTAAATTAAAAGGTATTTTTACTCACTAGAGAGAGTTTTAATCTCTCAAACTATAATTTTACATCATGAAGTATTGGTTAAGAGCATGGTGCTGGAGTCAGATTGCCTGGTAAAAACCATTTATTAGCTGTGTGACCTTGGGCAAGTAACTGAACCATTTTGTGAGCAGTAACCTCATCTCCAAAATGGCAGCAATAATTGCACCTGCCCCATGGGATGGCTGTAGTGACGAAATGAGTGAAGACATAGCCCTATATAATATACAAAATAAATGTGAACTTTCACTATAATTACAGTGTGTACAAGGCCCCATGCTAGGTGCTCTGACAGATAAACATTAACAGAGACACAGTCCCTACCCTTATATAGCTTACTATCTAATTGGGAATCCAAGCTACATTCCTATATAAAGTTAAACAGTAATACCTGAGATGGAAACCAACAGTTTAGTTCAGCAGCACAGACCAGCCTCTTAAACACAAAAGACACAGGGACTGGATGACCTGGACCAGAGGAGCCTTTTTGTATTAGGCGTTAGTTTCACACTTGTTTCCCTTTACCTGATGCTTATCTCTTTAACACGATGAAAAAGCCTCAAGGCAGATTGTATAATGAACACCGTTTGCACTGCCCAGCCTATGTTAATCCTGCAGTGGTTTAGCCATGCGTGAGCCGTTAAATGACGCAGATGCTGATGCTGGATTAAGGCTCCCGACAACAGAGATGAGTCGATTTGCAAGTGCTCTAAGTGGGCCAACCTATCAATGTCTGCACTTTTTAGAGGGATGGTGACTGCTTCAGCTGATTTTTTGGATTTTTCTGAGATTTATAGAGTTCCAGACTGTGATTATGCAGCTTAAGAGGTAATTCTGTACAAGAACTGTTACAACACAGTGCATGTCTAACTGATGAATGAATAATACAGTTAACAAGTGCTTGGAGACATCAAGGAGGGGGCTGCTTATTGTGGTCTGGGGTGACCATATATGGTCTAGGGAAGAAGTGATTACAAAAGGGCCTTCAACAAGAATTTTAGGTAATCCTTGCACCAATTAACCCTTTCAAGTCAAATATTGATTCCCCCAACTTAATATTTTAACTTCCCACTCTAGATTTTCACCTACAGACTGTCCCTGAACGGTGCTCCATAACCAAAGATCATTTTTTTAGCTAAATTATGAGTTTAATAGGTTTCCATGGGTTGATCTGAGAATATAGCCTCCATCTATAATATTGCTTCTGTGGGGGGAAAGGGAGTATTTTGAATTTCTGACAATTTACAAACCCAGTTTTGTAAACTCTGCTTTGATTTTTTTCTTTCATTCAACAATTACTTATTAAGTGCTTTAGATATGTCACTCTTATAGGCACTGAGGACACATCTGTAAATAAACAAAGATCCCTCTAGAAGTGTCATTCTAGAGACAAGAGACAGTGAAACAATGAACGTAATAATTAATTGGTATAGTGTGTTAAATGGTGATAAGTGCTATGAAATAAAGAAAAAGTAGAGCAGGGTAAAAGGGAAGGGGATGGGTGGCAATTTTAAATAGGATGGTTATTGAGAAGGTGACATTTAAGCAACATGAGCTGACCAAGATTACTGACCATGTCTGGGGGAAGAGCATTTAAGGCAGAAGGAAGAGCCAGTGCAAAGGCCCCAAGGTAGGAGCTTACTTAGTTGAGTTTGAAGAATAGCAAGGAGGCCAGTGTATTTGGAGGGGGTTGGGAGAGAGAGGATGAGGTCAGAGAGTAGCAGGGAGTAGTAGCAGTAACTCACGTAGTAGCAGGGAGGAGACTTCCCAGATCACAAAGCACCTTGCAGGCTATTGCAGAGCTTTTGAGAAAGTTAGAGATCACTTGTATAGGGCTGGCTTACAGTAGGGCCTGTTTGTATTAAAATGATTCCTTTTCCCTGTCTCCTATGCCTAAACTTTAATATGCATAAAAATCACCTAAGATCTTGTTAAAAATTCAGATTCTGATTTAGTAGGTCTGGGGCAGGGACTGAGATTCTGCATCTTTAACAAAATTCCAGGTAATGCCAGGCTGCTGGTCTATAGCCACACTTTGAGAGTAAAGAGGTATTGAGCTCCCAGGGGCTTTGGGGCTTCTAGTATGTATTAGCTGGTTGTAAGAGACTTGTTTACTTTGAGCCTGAAAGGACCACCTGAAAAGGCTTTTGTTTTCACTTTCATATTAGCTGGGGGTTCCCTCATTATTCATGATCCTACCATCTAGCTAGTAAGAGCATGGTCGAGACCTGCCTCTACAAACACGAGGCAGGTAGTCTGGCTGTTTCCATGCAGCATGTAAAAAGTTTCTAGGGCTTTCTCACTGCCACTATGGAGGCTCTGTCACTGAACCTCAACCTGGGAAACTCCCCTCTACTCTTTGAATGAGAATTTCATTTTCTGACCACATTTGTGTCTTACTTCATTTACAAGAGCTCTGACTCATGGCCTTAACTTCTGGTCCTATACTTTGAGTGATGATCCAGATCTGTAAACTAGGCCTGGGACAGCTGGAAGACTTGGGTGATATTCCCAAACAGAAGAGATGCTCCACTGAGGCCTGTATGCTAGCAGGCAAGGCTGACTTTCTTAAGAGCCAGCACAGTAATTTACAGCTAAGCAGGTCAGGAAGGACTAGCCATTTGCGAATATAAAGCATAGGTTACAGAGTCATATAGGCTTGGGTTTGAATTGTGCTTCTGTCCCTTACTGTGTAATCTCAGGAATGTTCCTCAGTGTCTCTGAGCTGCAATTTTGTCATCTGGAAAATGAGGATGATAATACCTTCCTCATACATGCAGATAATGCATATAAAGCACTTAGTAAAGTGTCTGGCACATATGACACTCACAAAATACTAGTTGCTATTATTTTCATAATTTCTATTATAATCCCACCGCGTATAAAATCGCTTCGTGACCTGGCAATATAGCACCCACCTTTGCGTTCCCTGGAGTTAGGTACCAGAGCAAATCCCTCAAGAAAGGCGTTCAAAAATGTGACACAGAGGCCGACGACTGTTTCATCATGACAGATGTCACAAGCGTTAACTGAACTGAAGAGGTTTAGTTCAGAAATTAGATGGGGGACAGTTGTGATGGCTGTCATCAAGTTGTCTGGTATAAGAGCAATAGATGTGTTCACTGTGTGCCTGAGGGCACAACTGACATCAAATGGGAAGAGATTAATGGGCAGCACATCCCACGCCAAGGTCAGAGAAAAGTTTCTATCAGGGAGAGCGAGTTAGGGTGGGATGGGGGTGGAGTGAGAAGGGGGTCGGCGCATGCGCAGCTGCGGCGGCGGAGCCAATCACCGTGCGCCGCCCGTCCTCGCGCGACGGTACAGTCGTACAGTCGTGACGTCGGCGGTTGCCATGGAGAAGCCCGCTCGGTAGAGACCGGGAGTTGGCGCCGCGGGCGGCGGAGTCGGAGCGTGGCGTTGAGGCCGTGTCCGCCGCCATCATGAGCGGCCGCAGTAGGGGTCGGAAAAACTCCCGCGCCAAAAGCCGAGGCAAAGGCCACGCCAAAGCCCGAGTCCGGGCTTCTCCTGACGACGGCCCGCACCACCCGGACCCTCCACAGTTCCAGAGGCTCGAGGAAGACACCACGGCGGCACAGGTGCAGGCTGGCGCGGGTTGGGGTGGCCTGGAAACCGCTGCGTCCGCGCCGTCCCCCCCGCCCGGGGAGGAGGCTGCCCGCCGACCCCCCCTGGACTGTGGCCTCGCGCTCTGGGCCCGAGCTGCCGGGGAACAAGGGCAGGCCGCGACCAGGCCCGGCCTGGGGAAGGCCACTTCTATCTCGGAGCGCCTGTCCACAGACACTGTCTTCGTGGGAACTACGGGAACCGTGGGAAGGCCGAAAAATGGCCCCCGCGTCGGAAATCGGCGTGGCCCAGCTGGGAAGAAGGGCCCAGAAACCCTTAGTGCCGTGGGGAGGGCACCTCAGGCCATAGCTAGTGGAAAGCCGAAGAAAGGGACGGCCGGAGAGTGTACCTCCGTCTCAATGGAGGAGGAAAAGAAGGTGGAGAAGAATGCAGGGTCAGGGCCCCCGGCGACAGAAGGCAGCATGGATACTCTGGAGAACGTCCAGCTGAAGCTGGAGACCATGAACGCCCAGGCGGACAGGGCCTACCTTCGCCTCTCACGCAAGTTTGGGCAGTTGCGACTGCACCACTTAGAGCGGAGGAATCTCCTGATCCAGAATATCCCTGGCTTCTGGGGGCAAGCTTTTCAGAACCACCCCCAGTTATCGTCCTTTCTGAATAGCCAAGATAAAGAGGTACTCAGCTACTTGAACAGCTTGGAGGTGGAAGAGCTTGGCCTTGCTAGATTGGGCTACAAAATCAAGTTCTACTTCGGCCGCAACCCCTATTTCCAAAATAAGGTGCTCATCAAGGAATATGGGTGTGGTCCTTCGGGTCAGGTGGTGTCTCGTTCCACTCCAATTCAGTGGCTCCCAGGGTATGATCTCCAGTCTCTAAGCCAGGGAAACCCAGAAAACAACCGTAGCTTCTTTGGGTGGTTTTCAAACCACAGCTCCATTGAATCTGACAAGATTGTCGAGATAATCAACGAGGAACTGTGGCCCAATCCCCTGCAGTTCTACCTTATGAGGGAGGGGGCCCGTGGAGAGAAAGGAAAGGAGGCCAGGCAAGGTCCCTCAAAGCAGCCAGTGGCTACCCCTGGGACTAGGGTGAACCAGTCCAACTGATGCTGCGCAAGTCTCCCTACTACCTCCTGCTGGACCTGTTCCTGGCTGACTGTATGTTTGGCTGCCTTCTCTTGATGTTGGCCTCTGCACTGTAGCCCATTTGGACGTTACAAGAATATGGCATTTATTATCATGTTCTTTTGCCTCCCCATGGCCGCCTTGCTTTTTCACATTACTGTCAC